GCCGACTTTGGAGGCACAGTCTGGGGGCGGAGTCACTGGAAAAAGGGATGTACTACTGTAGCAACTCTGCGCTTTGAATCCTTTACCGTACAACTTTCCGCCGCGAAACTGGCACAAGGTTGTCCACTCCGGACCGCACTACCTTCCCACATAACCTGTTCACTTTTCATAGGACTCGCGGACCGTTCCTTTAAGCTATTGCTGACCCCACTTCAACGTGTTTTTTTTTCTTCAGTGTCTTTTTAGTAACTTATTATTTTTCTTTTTTGAACTCATTCTTTCATTTCTTCACAGTCCTCCTTTACTATTCGTTAGGGTTTAGCACAAAAACCGCTCATTAACACGTCCCGCACCGCGTGACACACATGGTGTGTCATAACTTCGTCTCTAGGCGACGTTTTATTTAATTTGGCTTTTCTTTCAAGTGTTTATGTTGTCAAAGCACATTTTCGGGAACGGAGGATACTTAGCTCATACACGATGGAAAATAGGTGGGAGATTTCTAGTGATCTACCTATGGAAAATTATGAAGTGGTTCGGGGATGCGCACAGTACGGCGGTCCGCAATGTGTTAACAATCACATTGTATTTCTGGCTACGACTATAATGGAAAAAGCGCCCCTTACCATGCCAAGTTCGGTGGTAAAGCACGGTAAGTTGGTACCGACTGTGCTGGGAGGATAAGAAACCTTAATCTTCCATGAGATATATCAATCTTGAAATCAACGACTACATCCAGCACACACAAACAGATGCCAAATGTTTATTAGTTAGGAAAGAAGTTTGTAACGAAGAACACAGATCTCACAATCTAAGGGAAAAGTATCGCAAAAACAGAGGTGGCGAATGGGTAGTGAAAGAGCAAATTTCTCTGAACACGAAACCCTTATTTTGCCAAATTCGGTCAAAATCACATCCAACTACACTAATTACACCAACGAGCACGAATATAAAGACGAAACAACGTAGAAGAAGAAAAAAAGAAACGGGTATTGTTTTGAGTTGCACGTAAATATAATGACCCCGTCAAGCGAAATCCGTATGACAACGTTGAGTTGCCTAATTGGGGAAGAAGCACATTAATTCAGCACACAAAATACATACTTATAACAATAAAAATGAAATAAGTGTTACAAACTTCGAAAATCCAAAAAAAATAAGTTTTTCACGTATGTATATAAGAGCCCACTGTCTGAACCCCAAACCACTGCTGGCCATGACGTCATTATACTTCACAACGTGACGCCGTTCAAAAGATGTGTATCGATTGATGCGTATGTCGCGACCCCGCGCTGTGAAGTATAGTCGCGGCCTTATGCGTTTAGTGACATTGTGAAAACACTATTAGAAGCTTAAAACATATACCAAACGAATACGGAGAGTTACTCAGTCACTTCTCACACCCAAATGAAGCCGCGGCGATGAGCGATCAACAATCAGTCAACAGTTTACGAAACTTTATATACATAAATCTACAAGAAATCGAATAGTGGAGGAGAAAAGGAGAAACGAGGGCACGAGAGTCGAAAATAATACAAGCAACTACTCAAGAAGGAAAATGATCAATATCACAAAAAAGGTTCAAGATGCACAGCTAGAAGAGAGAAAACAGCGCTAGACTGAGGTTCGAAACATAACGAGGGCAGTTGTCGGAGGAGGACGATACGACCACGCTTATGACGAGGAATCGACCGTCGCACATATCGCCGTAGCACGATAAAGTGAGTGGAAACGGGGCAGAAAATGCGTACGCGAACACGTACGCATGAAAAAAGGACGCTTCTGGCATGCATTGAAATGTATGAAACAATGGGTTTGCTAGGCTTTTTTTTAATTCAGAAAAGTAAAAACTTGATGAGGGCGATATTCGTCGGGAGTATAGTCAAGTGACGTATCCGCAATTTCATTCGAGCACACGAAATAACACGCTGAAGTGGGAGGGACCTTCACCAAAGTGGGCGGGGCTTCCCCTGTTCAAGGAGCGATCACTACATCCCGAAATTACTTGTTACCAATCAGTATGAAAAGCATGTGAAAGCGAGAAACAGGAAAAAATGAAAAGAAATGAAAGCGAAACCCATACCCACGTATCAACATACTCCTCATATTCGAAAATTCTTATTACACTACGTATCATTATCGGCACCGCAGAATTTCAGGGAGCAATAAATATAGATGTACATCACATGAAAGTGTATCTGCATGTATGTATATAGCGATGATGTTTCAATAGATATTATCCGCTTTGTGTCTCGCCATTTTCTCCGCTATTCTGAGCGAACGAATCGTGAATTCATTCAAACCCAGACTTCAACGGCAACTGACGAGGAGGCTACGCACGGAATCAGAACCTGAGATTCATCACTGAGAAGATCAGGTATGTACAGCTTATCACTGATGCAATGTGAAGTCGTTGGCTGAAATGAGGCAATTTTGATGGGAAAAAATTGCTGGCAATAATATGATGCAAATATTTGATGCATAAGTACGACAGATGTAAGGTGCGGGCAGTCACAGAGTGCTAATACCGGGTGTGTACCATCAGTCCCATGTCGCGGCATCGCAGCATAGCAGAATATTTCCTAGTTAACTAGCTGACTGAGCAAAAGACAGACGCGAGAGAGTCGACAAAAACGCCAGCCCTGCCACGTTAACTAGAGATCATGTGAATACGGTGTGCATATCCTCCCCCCCAACGCTTGCACGCTTCTTTCGCGCACTCAGGACTTACTGGTAACGCATCCGGTTCAATAATCTTATTATGCGCGTTCCAGGACTATTGAGAACATTCCGCGATTGCGAGTCATGGGTACTGGGGTTAAACATGAACTCATATTTGCTAGTAAATTGCCCCCAATGATTTTAAACAGGATTGGTGATACCCAGCGTTAGATCAAGCATGAAGGGAAAAGAGACGCAGAGACTCCTCAGAGATTTTAGCCAACAGAGAGAGAGAGGCAACACAAACGAGAGAGACACAAACGAAAAATCGATCGCATTGTCAGGCGACCCAGTCCCGCGAAATAAGCATCCCGATCAGGAAAGTCCCGCCAAATTACCATGGAACTTTGAATGGAGACCTGGGTAGATCGATAGTCTATAAGGTTATTTACAAATATAGATAGCAAAACTGCAACCTGCATTTCACAAGCAACTTATGAGCAGGTAAAGTTTGTAATGGTGCAGTAGGGTGGAGGCTTGGTGGTGAGCTGTGAAGCATAAGCGAGGAATCGCATACGTCGAATCGAGTCGTCGAACCTTACCACTGAACCACCACGACTCGATTTGACGTATGCGATTCCTCGCTTATGCTTCACAGCTCACCACCAAGCCTCCACCCTACTGCACCATTACAAACTTTACCTGCTCATAAGTTGCTTGTGAAATGCAGGTTGCAGTTTTGCTATCTATATTTGTAAATAACCTTATAGACTCTATCGATCTACCCAGGTCTCCATTCAAAGTTCCATGGTAAGTTGGCGGACTTCCCTGGTGAGTCAAAACATCAAAACTCATTAAAAAGGTACTGACCAAGCCATCGTCGATAATTCACCAATATCGATGCTAGTCTTCTACACCTTCCGGGATTCCTTCTATTGGCGGGCTATCGTCGATGGAAACGTGTGGCGATTGCTGCGCTGACATTCCACCATTGAGTTCAGCGCCGTCCAACACCAGAAACTTGAGTATGTCCGATAAGGATATGATTCCAACCACCTTAAGTAAACTGTTTATGTTGGCGGTACACTGCACATGTAGGTTTCATTCACTTCTTCTTGCCCCTCAACACTGTGACACAACTAGAATGTACAACAAAACTATCAAAAAACCGGAGAAACTTTGGAATGAAAAAAAACTATCAAATAGAACTAACAAGGAGAGGATCTCAAATCGCTAACCATCCCCACCCATTCTCATTTGCTACAAACCATCACAACCCATTTGTAAAGACGCTGAACAAACCTTTTTGTCCACATCGGTCACTATTAATCGATGAACTTCGGCTCGAACTATGGCCTCCACCACAACAAAGAGGGAATCCGTCTCGCGACAGCATTGTACGCCTTCGAACCACTAAACATTTCACTCATCAATCACTCGATCCAATCCAATAAAGACAGAGAGAGGTGGCAGTAACAAAAAGCGTCAAAAGAAGCTAAAATGATAGAAGATCGAGGTTACCTTTTCCTTGGAACTCGCCGCGCATTCTATTCCCATTCAGAATCGTAGTGGTTTTTGAACGTTCTATCTAACAAATGAGACTGATTCAAGGGCCCTCGAAGGTATGGAATGATTAGCGGGCACTGGCGGGAACCATTCCCGGTCGAGCAGCTCACGTGGAAACAGCGCTGCCTGCCGCTATACCATCACCACCCCTGAGCCAGGTGTAACTGCCCTATTAAGATTAAGACGGCGCTGTTTATCGACGGGGGGGGGCATTTTGTACTATCACTGCTTCCCTTGTTCCGGTTTGCAAATCTCACTTTGGTAAAACTTGTGAACTCTTGTAAAGCTGGAGCAGGATCATCCCAAAACGTGTCAACTCGAGAAAACGCTACCTAGATGGGTCGACACATCTATGGAAAGCAAAATGCCCCCCCCCCCGTCGATAAACTGCGCCGACTAAGACTTTTTCTTGAGATGTAAGGCGACACGTGAAAAAAAAACCAAAAAAGAGAAGGTGCGGTTCAGGGCACTTCACCGCGCGTGCGTCTGACCTTGCTGAGAAGTATGCCTTGTATTATAGACCCAAAAATAGGGTAATTCAAATATTCCGGGAGCAGACAGTAAGCCAAGGAGGGCGCAAAAGATGTAGTGACAAGTAGTCGACCACCGCAAGCCATGATAAAGTCGGCGTTCAATTGCCACTAATATTTTGATGGAAGCAAATGTGTGGCGCACTCGCGATAGGGATTATTCAATATCCAGTGCATCATTTTTTTCTTTCGAAGAAAGGGCAGCAAAATATCGGAACCTTTGTTAGAATTCCGATTCGCAACCTTTCAAATTCGGGAAACATGGAACCCAAACGATCTTGTATGACTTACCTCTGAGCGATGTTTCAGTGCCTCCTGTACAGTACAATCCAATCGATTGTACGATTTCTCAGCTGCCAAACTGATGACATCGAATTTAGCATATATATCAACCACCTAGAAGAAAAAAAATGGAGTGATCATACCTTACGGTTACTAAGAATGGGCGCCATGGCAGTGCAACTCCTGAGTTCGCCAAGCTGTAATTTCCAGCGAGGCTAGAGAAACGACGATTTGATGAATCGGGTGAAAGGAATCTTGTCAGGTAAACTCTAACACGTCAAATATTCAGTGTACAAAGACAAACACCATGACGAAACCTCTGAGAGCGGACTCGTCAACTGCGCACGCTGGTAATCTTTCTGTCATTGCTCTATTTGGCTCTTAAACGCATTTTGATAAAAAAAACGAGAAACAAAGCTCACCCGTCCTTTTTCGTCCACTAAAGGCAGCGCCGAGACCCGATTACGCAGGAAAATGTCCAGTGCGTCATGAAGCGGTGTATCGACATGAATGGTGAGAATATCACCCCATGAACCAATTCCCAACTCCTTCGGTGTGCTATCCATGAACCCAGGTCGGGGTAAATCGTGAAGCTATAACGCGTTTCATTGGTACATGCATAAATAAATGGATCAAAATCGAAAAACCACCCTCCCTCTTTAAAAAAACTCACATATAAAGATAGAAATTTGATAAGCCTTTTGTGAGTAATAATATAACTGATATTTCCTGTATTCTTGTCCATCACCGGTAGTCGATGTACTTTCGACTCACAAAGCACTTGAACGGCGCGATAGAGGCTGAATTAAAAAAAACATTTTAATGCAATCCACAGCAAAAAAAGACGAGCAACAGAGAACGCTCACCTTTCGTTCGGATCAATGGTCACCAACGGTGGTATTCCGTCAGCTTCGAATTGTTCACGCCAATGACTGATCTGCTCTTCCTCCAGTGCACGCATTTTCTCATCGTTGTTTCCGGATTCGTAATGCCTACAACCACCAAGTGTAAAGAAATGAAGCTCTCGAGGATGCGCCACGCGTTCGGCTCACATTCAACTGCCAGAGGCATCTGAATGCATACGCATGCGTGGCCCAATCAATATTCAAAAAACTGTTCATCGACCTCGCTCAATTAATGGCTAACTCCGGAGAGGGCACTGCTGCAAGAGAAACGGGGGGGGGTCGGCGACAGGGGAGGGCATTTTGCACTTTTGCTGCTTCCCATCGACGTGTCGACCCATGAGCGCATGAGCTTGCAAGAG